ATGCTTGTCTTGCCTAAGCATTTTTGCTGTTTATGGAACAATTTTTGCCACTTGTAGGCAAAACACTTGGTGTTAGGCAATTGGGAGATGTAGTGTAGTGCCAATGAGGGTGCCCAAGAAAGATTTTGCATTAATAATACTTCAAGAGTGGAGTCAATGGCTTGTGGCAGTGGCATGAGGACAAGATAACTTTGCCTAATCGAGGGTGCACTTGATTCAGTAGGCGGTGGCGATAGCATTTGCTTTTGCGTAGCTCTAAGTGGCATTTGAGCTGCCATATATTGCTTCAGAGCTAAGTTTGGAGTGTTGGCACATTTTAGTGGAGGTGTAAGCATAGAGTGAGTGAAAGGGAAAGAATGAGAGAGAAAAAATAACTCTTTAGATACCTCTAAATTATCTAGGTTGCCTTGTTTAGTGCATTAACCTTAAGCTTTGTCCTCTTGCCTTTGTTTACTTTTGTATGCAAATGTATTGTGGAATTTTTTTTCCTTGTTGGCCTAATAATCTTTTCTCATTAATTCTTATAGTTTGCTGGCAAAGTTTATAGAATGAGGCAAAAAAAATGTAAACATTACTCTTAGAGTATTCACCCCTTATTTTCTTTTCCTCTAAGTCTTGCATTGCCTAAAGAAAATTTCTATAGGCCATATTAACAAGATTTTGAGGGAAGGTTTGCTCAAGAAAAAGAAATATTTGTCTAATGTATCTTTTGATTTCTTTTCTTAAAACTTCCCTATCAAAGAAAGTACTTAGATATATAGAGGTTTCTCTAGCATAAAGATGAATCTTTCCTAGGAGATATGTATTATTTTTCTATTCTAGATGAACAGATTCCTGTCTGAACTTATCAGGAAAGACTACTCCTTTTATTCAATTCCACTAATTTAATTCTATAAGGAGATAGAAAAACTTATTCCCTCAAAATAAGATTTTGAGTGATCTTAATATCCCTTTCATCCAGTTTGAAAGCCAGTTTTACAAGATCCCATAATTGAAGAACCAATTTGCTTTTTTATGGTTCTACACAGTTTGATGTAACTTTGTTTTTCTAGACCAGTTGGCCACTTTATCTATGCACTTAAGTAGTTCATCACAATGAATCCCTATAAGGGCTTCATCCACAAGTTTATTCATAGTTTTGTACTTTAAGATATAAACAATATTTATGCTTATATCTTTATAGTACTTCTTTAAACGATTTAAATTTACTATTACAGTACCATCCCTATTTAAGGTATGCACTTCAGCCATTCCTAGAGCTAATATCTTACACAAAATATATGGACTATTCCATTTTCTCTCAAATTTATTTCCAAGAGTATCTATTTTGCCTTGATACCAAAGGACCTTATCTTTTAGCTTAAGTTTACAAGAGATTTTCAATTGTGTATGATGCCTAATCTTTTTGGCTTTTTGAATTGCATGCAAAGTTTAGATTGCTCTAAGCTTAAGCTCATTTAAGTTTGCTATTTTATCAAGTTTTTGCTTAATAGCTTATTTTTCATCTAAGCCATTTTTAATTGTAATACGCAAAGAGAGAATTATAAGTTTTATAGGCGTTAAAGCTTTCTAGCTATAGGTAAGATGAAATGGTGTTATTCTTATAGATATTTTATATGTAGTCTTATAAAGCACAAAGCTTCTAAAATTTTCTCATCTTAGTCTTTTTTTATTATCTTTTACAATCTTTTTAAAGATATGTTTAAGTATTTTGTTAATAGATTCAACCTGACCATTTCCTTATAGGTAATATGGTATAGACTTTTTGTGCTTAAGGATAAATTCTTATATAAGAATTTCTATTGTTTCATTGATGAAATAGGTGTATTTATCTATGACGATCTCTTTAGACAAACCAAATTTTATAATGATATTTTCATAAAGGAATTTGGTAGTGTTTAGCAGCTGAAGCTTATTTCATAGACATAACTTTTGCCTATTTAATCACATAATTAGTAAAAATTAAAATATATTTATTCCTCTTACTGTTTGTTATTAAAAGACCCACAAAATCCAATCCCCATTTATAAAATGCTTTATGTGGATAGGTAAGGTTTAGTTCATGGATTTACTTTTTAGGTGATAGTTTATGCCTTTAGAAATATCACAATTTTTGTAGAAAATTATTATATCTTTTCAAAGCATAGGCCACTACAGCTCTATTTGTAAGACTCCTAGCAATGATTTCATTTAAAAAATGGTTTTTTGATGGGCCTGAATAAGTTTCCTTTAGGATTTCATTTATTTCTTTTTGCCTATTAACACATCTCTTTAGTGTTCCATCGATACTTAATATATGTAGGTGCTTCCCCATGGTAGAGTAAGGTTATATCCTCAAGACAAGCAACTTATTTTTCCTTGGTGAATTATAGTGAGGTGTAACAATACCTGTAAAAAGATATATTTATATATTTCAACCAAATGGTACAGAGATTGTAAATAAGCATCTAAAAGTTTGTCTACTTTAGTATTAAATGATTCTTCTGTAGTGATGTGGATTAGGCAATTGGCCAGTTTATATAATTAGCCACTACATATGCATTTTAGAAGAGTTTATGTGTTACTGTAGTAGTGCTAATAGAATGTTGTTTACGCTAAACTTCCACCTAGAAAATAGAGGATGCCAATCTAGAAAATGCTAATAATATTAATATTTATGGCTAATTTCATTATATATTTAGCAATGAACATCACGGCCATGGCCACAACCACATTTTTACACTTGTCCTTGAAAATGGGCAAAAGTAATGTCAACTTCCATTGGAATAAAATCATCTCCCATATGAAGAGAAGATGACATATGTGCAGTGATAAGTAGAAGAGGTGATATCTCATAATATTATGTCAATTAAAGAGTATTGTCAAAGGTAGTTGAGGCAAGTGTATGCACAAATCTCATGAAATCTTGACAAAGTGCTAACCATAATATTCCCAACTTAATCCATTCTGACATATTTAGTTCCACACAAAGTTAAAGGCTTTGAAAGCAAATACTAAATTGCATAATTGACTCAAATAGCCTTAGCTAGAGAAGATACAATTCCTAGAAAGTATTATCAAAATCATTAACATGTCCAAAATGTGTACTTGAAGACGTCTAGAAAAAAGTTATAATCTGCATTAGTGGTTACTTACAAACTATTGTACCACTGCAATGTTGTCCATTAAAGATATATGGGAAACTCACATAAACACTTTACATCATCCCAAAAATAATAAATAGCAATCATTGTAAAATGATCAAACTAATAACATATATCATACCAAGGATTCTCAGGGAAGAACTCTAGTTTAATATGAGGATTAGTAACAAAAGTAGGAGGAGCAATATAATAAATATTCCCATCAACTATGTCTGATTGTTTAATAGAAATCATGTCATATTAAGCATTTGCTACTTTATAGTCAAAAAATGAGGAGATTATTACTTTGGTAAGATAATTAAAGTTGCCTACTAACTCCACCAATATGAGTGTATGGAATATATATATATTTACATATATATATATATATATGTGTGTGTAGATATGTGTATATATGTGTATATATGTGTATATATATATGTATATATGTGTATATATGTGTATATATATGTATGTATATATATATATGTATATATGTATATGTGTATATGTATATATATGTGTATATGTATATATGTATATATGTATGTATATATGTGTATATGTATATATATATGTGTATGTGTATATGTGTGTATATGTAGATATGTATGTATATGTATATGTGTATAAGTGTATATATGAATATGTGTATATGTGTATATGTGGATGAATATATGGATATAAATATGTATAAAAGTATGAAGGTAAAATATATATATATATGGATCCCTATTTATTCCTATTTTTCCCTATTTTTCCCTTTTTTC